AAGCTTTTAAGGAAACAAATTGCCTTAAACCATTTAAGTTTAAAAACTAATATTTATTATGAGTTCTGTAAACTTATTCCATTTGAGTCAACATATTTATTAAACTATGATTCCACTTAAATACTTTGTGTTGCTGAAAGTTAGGCCTAATTCAATTGCATTAAAATCTGAAACCTTTTAATTAACTCAAATATTGTAGTTAATTAATTACAATATCTCACATACCTGCATACAAGCGGCAAAAATTGGCTCCTGCATGTACTAAAGAAATAAGCAAATAGCTGCGTCCCATTTCAAAGGCTGCATCCTTCGAAGGCCGCATTTGAAGGCCGATTGCGTCATTGAGTCACGACGAAGGTTGTCCCAATTCGAAGGATCCTTCAAATGTGGCCTCCAAAATGCATCCTTCATTCATGGGAAACAACAGATGGATCCTTCGTGGCTTTGTCTACCCCAGAATTCATTGCATGCCAGTGACAACATAAAAAATTTTTGAGAGAAATTAATAAATGACAATAATGAATTAAACGTAAGTATTGGGTTTCAACTTACTCAAAAATCTAATGATACAAATGGAAAAAAGAAAAAAAAAACTTTAAAGCGGTTTAAATGTTGACTCATATCTTTCTAAGATGCGATATAGATAGGTTATACTCTTTATTATATAAAGAAATGGACCGTGGTGAACATATTTAGACCATTTGTGAACCCTGTTTTGTTTTCAGACAGTTTAACTTTCAAAAATGTCCAGTACAAACATTACTGCCACTCATCAACGGCACACGGCAGCTGTCACAGTTGCTAGGCGACAAGAACACTCCTCCATAGGCGAGACCAGAGCCATATAGAGAGAGAGTTGCGACAACGGAAGTTCTAAATGCTTGGTTGTCACGTGATTCGCGTAGACCTCAGATAGTTCCAGGAAGTGCTTCGGCGCCAATTCAAATCGATGGAGGTAGAGAGCTGAACTGTGATTTTTGGTAGTTTGTAGTCAATAAATGCGTTGGTTTACAATATGTATATAATACATTGACATTTGGATGTAGTATGTGTATGTAGTTACAGCAATATTGTTTTTAAAAGATAAAAATCTGCTGATATTTAATGTTTATTGTGGTCAACCAGTGTTGCCTGCCTTTGTTAACATATTTTCTGGCTAACTTTACCTTGGTTAAAGACCGTTTTGCAGTTGTTTTGAAGTATTTTTGTGTTCTTAAACTTGTATGTTATTTAAGGGTTATCATGTAATGTTCACTATGGTTTCACAAGGACAGGAGACTTGCAGGAAACAGGTGATTGTCTTAAAATGCCATTGCAAACAAGTAAAATTGCATTCATCGTAATGTTTACAATTCTTATGCACTTATTACTATATAAATGAATACATATTTCATTTTAAAACAAAACATGATTATACACACATACATTATTTTCTAAGTGTCCAAGTACATTATTTCCTTAACATAATTTGATAAATTCATGACATACATCACTTAAATCTATAAAACCTATTTAGTTTAAATTAATTTTTAGTACATTTAGATAATACATATTTTATGTTTTGTTATCTTAAACCCCCCAAAATGTCAGGTTGTGTAACTGTCCGCACAAATTAACAGACTAAAATACTAATTTAAATGGTGTTTTAATCATAAAAAAAATAAAAATGAAATTCTAATTTCTATGGCATCATTTTAACCTTTCATATAAACAAATTTTATACATTTCAGTAGATTTATAGCTGATAATTGAAAACCTTTTGTCTAGCAATTTGTATGTCGGGGGGGCACAACTGCAAACATGGCTCTCTTATTATGGTAATTGCAGTGTGCATGATAATGCATTGTCCAGAGGAGCCATAATGATCCTTTTAGATCTCTATCAAATACTGGTAATTGCTTTAAAGTTAGGGGTAGGTTGGTACACTTTCAGGTGAATTTAAACACTTAGAAATGTTCACAACTGAAACTTGTTCAAATACATTGTTCATGACACAAAAATATACATTACATCAGTTTTGAAAAGATTTTAGACTTTGTTTATTTGTCAATGACCTATATATACACTTTTGCACTGAATTAGCACAATGGGATTTATAAATGTCTAATAAACTGCACGTCAAGCATGTTGTCTGGCCTTTCCTCTATGTTGTCAGACACAGAAAATATGCTCAAGTCAGGAGCAATCTAAATAGAACTTGTGTGCTAATCATACTTAGGTGTATCTGCACTTTTTCCACAAAGACCAACACTGGGAAGTTTAATGTTATTAAAAATAGGGAGCAAGTAAAGTCTTGCAAAATCCAAGGAGCTGAGACTGATGAGGGTACAGCGTCAGTGCAGGAGTCTTCAGGATCCACCGAATCCTCTTTGTGCTTCTTGTGTTGAAAGAGATAAAGGAAACAAAAACGGGATAAATTATATATAGGAGTTAGTATATAATACAGTTATGGTATTTATAATACCCCATTTAGCCTAGTGTGATTTGATCTAGAACACGGCTTGCTGCCGTTTTAAGCATGTTTTTAATCTTACTTATAAACTTCCATCTCCCTTTCCTATCAATACAAATCAGCTGAGCTAAATCATAATATAGACAGGTAATAGTCAACAGAAACACAATGAATAAAAAACGCCAACCATACGTTTTTCCTTACTCAAATATGAAATCTAAAATAAGGATTTTTCCCCGTTATTGCACATTTAATATGGATTGAAACCGATATTCTCATTTTATCAATTACAACTATCACACTCCCCAATGTTATATTTAACCTCTGTTTAGAAGTATTTCCCTCTTATTACACAACAAAGGATAAACATGCATTAATAGAACGGGTTTAAACATTAATATGCTGTTCGTGGTTTGTTATGCCGTACTAACTTTATCCAATGACCTTTATTTTACCTGATAACGTCCCCTAAAACTACTAATTTAGAGAGCAATAATCAACTAGCATGTTTTAATACAGTTAAACTTACAAGTTAATTGGATTCAGATGTACTGATAATATACAATCTTATTCTTTAAACGTCTTACCTTTTAAAAGTGCATCACAAACGGTCTGTTCTGCTCTAACTCTACCGCGCTGCTGCTACTTCCGGGAACTATTGAGAGGCTCCGCGAGCCGCCATTGCTGTAAAAAACCGTTCCATTGGAGTCAATGGAGTTGTCGCAACTCTCACTCTATATGGCTCTGGGCGAGACCAGAGCCATCTCTCTATGGCTCTGGGCGAGACCATCCCATTTGACAACCCTCAGTCAGACCTTCACGGCCTTCAAAGAATCACAGCCAGAGATGGGCAGAATTTCAACTAGGGCTACATGTATTTGAAACACGTATTTAATTATGTATTTTGTCATTTTATTTTCCTTAACAAAAATAAATGAAAAGTAATTTGTAATTAAATACTTTGAAGGACTGTAATTTGTTTTAAAATAATTATTTAAATATATCATTTTATTTCACATATATTAACTTTCATCACCAGGCTTAATAAGACCATAGACATATAAAATACGAATAGGACTACCAAATTGCTTATCACAGTTTTTGGCTAGATGCAAGAAAATCACGTGACGTGACACATCCTATTGACCCTGTTAACATTTCAGGGTCAATTCCGTAATCACGTATTGACCCTGTTAACATTTCCGGGTTTCTCAGAAGTGGAAGTCGTCATAGTTGGGTAAACTTCAATAGCAGGGAATGAGATGCTACATTAAATATATTTTTTGTGTTTACATTTGCTCAAATAGCAAAAGAAAAACGCACAAGCAGCTTCAACGCGCTCTGCATATGATCGGAAATGGAATGTGTTTGAGCGATGGTGCGAACACAGACACATCGTGTTCCCTTTTCTCTGTTCTGTTGCGGATGTGTTATGCTTTCTGCAGGAGCTTTTGGACAAGGGCAGATCCTTTTTTAGAATAAATAATTTCTGTGTGCCATGTGGGGATTGACAGAAATATTCTAGGCCTACACCCGCTTGTATGCAGGTATATGAGAAGTGTGCGGCGTTAGAACAGTGTTTCAAAGCCACTGATTCCACGCTAGGTCTGTGGTCCTTAATGCCCTATCTCAGTCGACTAAAATAACTAGCTTCCGGCAGATGGCCGTACGCAAGTCGACTTACGCCAAAAGAGTAACACTTGCCGTTGTATGACGTAGGATGTAGGAGTAGCGTGAGCTTTGACGCCTCTTGTGGTTCAAACAAACAGGGCTGGTCAACCGTGCTCGTCATTATGTTGTGCATCAAGTTCAAGGGTTACTCTTTTGGCGTAAATCCATGCGTACGGCCGTCTGGAAGCTATTTTTTTTAATCGATAAAGTTTTAAATATGGATATTTTTCTTACACGAACGCATCGCTTCACTTCAGAAGGCCTTTAGTAACCCCCGGAGACGCGTGGAGCACTTTAATCATGAATGGATGCACTTTGATGGACTTCCAAAGACATTCAGCCATTAACTCCCATTATAAAGCTTGGAAGAGCCAGGACATTTTTTTATATAACTCCGATTGTATTCTTCTGAAAGAAGAATATCATATAATACACCTAGGATGGCTTCAGGGTGAATAAATCATGGGCTAATTTTCATTTTTGGGTGAACTAATCCCTTTAAATCAATTAGGCTCTACTCTTCAGCACTACCACCCGCCCCTGACATAACAGAAACTCTTACAAATTCCAACAAAACAGAACATTAAACTCTAATTCTAATCTAAAACACACAATTCTAATTTTATTTCACAGAATTTTAATTTGACTTCTCGCAATCTAACTGACACAGTGTGTGAAGTTATATTAAAAGTCAGGAAAAACTGTCCATTGTCATTTGAATTCACTACTGGAACTTAATACCTGTTTGGCCAACCCGTCAACAATAGGAAGCCAAGTGGATATTTTATCAAAAGTAAGAGAATGGAGTCAGAAATGAAAACACAGAAAGATTCAGTGATTCAACATGGTGTATGATGCAAAACATTATTAGTGATGACACTTTTAACATGTTTAATATCAATGGACTGACATTACAAATATGCCTAAATCATTTATCAGAGAAATACTTCTTCTCAGGATAAAACTGCTTAATGACAACAGTGCCTATCAAGGAGAAAAAGGCTACAGCTGTGAGGATTGTCCTCAGTGCTTTAAACCAGCCGGGGTATGTAGGCATGAGGGACAGGTCATAATGCAATGATATCCCAAGCCCCATTATCACAAGCACAGCAGACTGTGTAATGTCATGGCAAAAAAGGAGTGCTGTCCAAGCAATCAGACAGGGAACCACGCTGTTGGCTAAATTGAGCCAGTCAGGTTTTGCTGGACTTCCAGAAGGCAAGGCGAAACCCCAGCGTACCCCACCAAGAAAGGAAACAATGGACGCTCCGTATGCAACTTGAGCAAATGCAACTTCGGGAAGATACAGTTCCGTGACAGCCATAAGTAAAGGAGCGGATACAAAAGGTATGAGACCAGATAATCCGAGATAGAGGGCCGGCTTTGGAGCTTTCTTTAGGTCTCTCATGTCATAACGAAGCAAATCAAGTTCTCTTGGTGGACTCTCTTCCTGTGGCCGTTTTTTCGGTCTCTGACCAGACCAGTGAAATGACTGAACTCCCAGAACGGCACCAGCAACATGTCTTGGGGGCAACTGTCCATATAAACCTCTAGTGAACAGTGTTGAACAATGAGCGGTCCACTGCCCTAAACAGGCAAACTTTCTGGACACCTGAACAAAGAACAAATGTGAATTAAAACAATTTCTTCCATCTTGATAATGATTCTCATGAAACAAAATTAAAATAAAATACATAACGTGTTAGAGATATATTACATTTATATAACACGGAGTGTTATTCATGATGGAAACACGAGTAAATAGAATAAATAAATAAACAAAATTAGAAGAATTATAGAATAAAAAGAAAATTTGACGGGTAAAATGTTTCACTCACCGCAAAGTTGCCAAGGATGTGACGTCCGATTATACTGGCCAACATTTTACCTGCAATTCAAATAATATGAAAACATTAATCATTCGTTTAAGGACAGTTGGAAGTGCTGTCTGGAATCACATCGGATGTCAAGTTGAACTGAATTGTAGCTACATTATAAAAGCTAACAGCGCACAAGCAGTGGTTTTATATCTTATGTCAGAAACAGTATTCGGTTAAATTTATTAAAACATACCTTAATTTCATGTTATAACGTCCAAAAATAAAACGTAGTTTTGTCAGCAGAAGGTCATTACAACATTACAACGCGTGTGGAAATGTGAAGCCAGACACATCCGAACACGCAAAATGTCTGGAAAGTTCTTATAAAAGTCCTACGGAAAGAGTCCGGATCATGTATTTAAATTCAAATTAAATGCAGTAATTACTTTTAAACCTACATTAGACTTTTATGGATGTGATGGAGTCTCATGGGAATGGAGTGTAAAACAAGTGGAGTTTCATGTAAGCTTAACTAAATTTAATTATAATTGTATTACATTTAAAAATATGTATAATTTGTGGTCAAGTTTGACTGAAAATTAATTCAGAAAAAGAAAAAAAAGGGACAGTGGAAGACAGATAAAGAGAAGAATACTGGCACAGAGCATTGCACAGAAGGTGTATATCTGTAATATAAAGAACAGGATAGCGAATAGTCTATATGATGTGTTGGTCATTATCATAGCTATGTTCACACTTCAAATTTATTTATTTATTCACGATGTTTGTTTATGAATTTACCTTATTCAAATCCACTATATATATCAGATTTTATTATTCAAAATGTATGCAATCTGATACAATTATGTAGTCTGAACAACAAAGAAAAGCACAAATATAAAGGCTTGTTTAAGTATTATTATATCCAATTATTATTTACCAAATTAAAAGTTTTTTTCATATTTTTGTATCATTAGGCCGAATGACATCACGTACTGTTTGTACAAAAAAAGGAATGTGCTGTTTACCTTATTTGGTATGTTATGCACATACAATTTTGATTCTACAAATAGACGTTTATGAATTGTTCGAAATGTCTATTCATTTTTTTCTGAAAAAGCAGATAGTGCACGTTATATAAGAATATAATACGCAAAGTTGTCATGAAAACCCATCCCTTTTTAGATTTAGGTGACAACATTGTGCTTTCTGTATAGACGAACGCCAACCTGGTTATTTTTTTCGTTACTTCACGTGTACAAATCATAGGTACAAATGCCTGTGAAATCAGACACCGTGGACTCAAGAAATGCTTTCTGGTAGAGCTCATTTGCATTTCCGCCCATTTTGCCATGTTGTTTACATAAGTTTTTGTAACCATTTAACTCAATATATTTCACGAGTAGTTGCAAACCTAAAAAGTCCGCGCTCTGTGTGTTTCAAGCCCTCTCGAGAGACTAATTCCTCCAGCTGGCTTGAGCTGGGACAGAAATGTTATGACGCGTCGAGCGCGTTGTGCTCTGCGATCGATTAGCTCGTCTGTGCAGAAGTAGACAGGAACAAGCTAGACGGATTGGCAAAGTCGGAACGAGTGTGATTAAAAACACAAACAAAATACAGAATCAGATATACGACAACCTCCAAACTGTCAAATTGACTTGACAAGCGGCGCATCGTTGTCTTCGATTAAGTTATTGGGATAGACAAGGGATCAAACGGTAGGTGTATAACGAAATGTTTATTTGGTTGGTTTGGTGTCGAGAGGGAGCCATTTTACAACACTTTATTCCTGCTCGGGATGCTAGCTTAGCCTAGTTCGCGCCGTGGCTAAAACAACATGTATTTCGTCACGACACAAGTCGGAGTAGTTATAATTCACCCCTATGTAGCCGTCTAATTATGCCTAAAAGTTTCTTTGCTCTGAAAAGTTTAAATTTAACCAGTCACCGTGGACTAAAAGGTTTATGCACACATCGAATGGCCTACTATGCTAGCTGTGCCGTGCTAGCGAGTGTTCAGCAAGTAGTAAAACGAATTACTATTTACTCGTAATTTGCGAAATTGTCTTGGTATGTTGAACTACTGTATGCGCCAGAACGTTTGGACGAGCATACTAAGTATTGGTTTGCTATTATTTCAAATATATTTCCTCAAAGTCAATTCTTTTTCATATCCTACAGCTAACTCTTAACCCTGCTTTTAGTTTCCCTCACTTTATTTTGTTTTGCATTATACAAACAAATTGTTTATCTTACTGTAATGTTAGTTAGAACATGTATGGCCATATTTCATATAAAGTCCCTGGTAAGGAGATGATTAGCCACGTTAAAAGGGTAACGTTAGCTCACTCAAATTTATTTTCATAATTCTCTCTCTCTCTTGTTGTTTCAAACTTGTATGGTTTTAGGATGAGAAAAAGAGATGTTTGGCATAATAGTAGACTGACAGCCTCAGTCTTCATCATTCACTTTCACTGTTTTTCCATGCAGTGTAAGTCAATTGTTACAAAAAATGTCATTCTGCCGATTATCTTGCATTTTCCTCTGAGGGAGAAAAACATACATGTTTGGAACAACATGTGGATTATGGATGAGTAAATAATGAGCAGAATGTTTATTTCCTTTAAAGTAGTTGTAGCACATTTGTAACCTGTCAAGGCAGCTTATTGTCCTGCCAAACATTTTTTATGCCTTGGTGGTTGTTTCAAAGACAGCATTTGGGACATATGAACATGAATTTTGGTCTATATATATGACATAAATTGATCTAAATATTGCTTGCTATTTTACAGAGTTGGTCTGCAGATTATTTGTGAAGATCTGGAGGAAGAAAGACCTGTTGGATTTGTGACTGCAGGATTTTAAGAGACCCAAGATCTCCCAACATGCAATAATACAATCTGGAGTACACCTGTTGTTTCACAGTGAATGTTCAAGGTTTGCTTGCACCTGGACGCTTGTGTTTTGTCATTGAGTTTCATTTGAATCACCAATGCACGGTACATCGTGTTTAACCAGAATCTGTGCAAATTGGCTTCAAGTTACTCACCTGTGGAAGTTTCTTCTAATTTGATGAACTGGAAGATCGGAAGTGTTGTTAGGAGGCAAATCATATTTACTTCCAATTTTTTCGGTAGCCTAACGTGATATTGGTTCACCAGCCATTTATCAGCCATGTGGGCCGATAATTAAAGATGTCAAGTTTTCATTGTTTGGTTCACTGAAGTATCCAAAGTATGAGCTGTTGAAGGCTAAAGCAATTCTCATGACTTTATAACATAAAGCACTTCTAGCTATTGTGATGTGACAAATCAGCCCCCCTCCCCTTTTCGCCCTGACGTAGCACCTTCGCTGTTTTGATGAGGTGAATATATTCAGATCACCACTTTCCGCAAACCAGCATTGTGTGGTACAAACCCACTCTCCGTTTTTTTTGTCGCTGTGTGTGTCTTCAGCCGAAAATGAGTTCGTAAAGGAGTTTCTGAGTGTCAGAGCAGGCACAACGTGCTGCTACCACAAGCCCCCAGAATAAGAGACTGGACTTGTATTCGGTCACCCTGAATGCACACAGTCATCGTCGTTGAACTAAGGGTGTCGTGGAGGGTCACTCTGGCATTACAGATCAAACGCATACGCTACTTGTCCACAACTACACGCCATTGATCAAAAACAACACGTCACCATCTTTCCCATCACCTAACAATTTTACCTTGGGCTGCACAAGTTTCACTTCCATCCCCTTCTTTGCACCTTCCTGGAAACTGGAGTTTGCCTGTGGCAGGAGCTGCGGTTGTCCTGAGGCTTCAAAGCCTGTGAAAGTGCGTTGGTTGGGCCCTCTACACAGACACAGCCAAGGACAGGGCCATCGAACTACAGAGCCTTTGTCTCTGGGGTAAGAAGCCACAACATTTAGCTAGAACGTTCCTTGGTATTGTTTATTTTGCACTCTGAATTAGTTCCCTCTTACAGTATGTAATGAAATGTGAAATTTGCCATTCAGTAGAATTAGTTGTTTTCAAGTTTGTTTTTGATAAATCTAAACAAATACAGTCATTCATATCAAGGCCAAGAGAGAAATAAAACAGAACAGTGTTTTTTGTTTTAACGTTTAACCTAGAAACTGCTAGCTTGTCTTTAAAATACATTTTTTGATAACACTTTACAATAAGGTTTCATTTGTTAATGTATTTAACCTAACCATGAGCAATACATTTGTTACTGTATTTGTTAATCTTTGTTAACATTAGTAAATGTTGAACTTAACATTAACAAAGATTAATAAAGGCTGTTTAAGTGCAGGTCATTATTAGTTCATTAACTAATGAAACCTTATTGTAAAGTGTTCCCCATTTTTTTCACCTCAATGTTTAAATCAAAATGTTGTTACTCGATATTCCTAGAATTCTTCAATCATGTATTCCACTTAAACCCTACCCGTCCACTCAAGTGATTTTCTGATAGGTTCAAATATGTTGGCCAGCTCCTTCACTCTGTATAGAGCCTAGGGCTGTCACAGGTGTGATTTCTAAAGACACATTTTTCAGTAATATTTGTCTAGTGGTTGGGCATATTTTATGCATGGTATTCCAAACATAATTTCTAGCCCTTTTAAAATGCAATTTTTAGCACCTTTAAAATGCAAATATAACTGCAAGCCATTTGTAGGTTGATTTCTCCGAAATGTGGAAACGCTGGCCCTGTGGTGTTTTCAAAACATAGCCTATTCTCTTCAGCCTGACTCTGCAACATTGGCTCAACCAATGACATGAGTTTCAGGTGAAGACTATCTGTTTTCCTGACCTTTGGCTGATGGGGGTACATTCCAAAATTGTTTGAAAACTGAAATTTTAGCAGCAACAAATGCAAAATGACTCTCACCTTTCAAAGAGTTTTTTATGGAATATTGCAGTATTTACTATAAATGATTTATCCATGCACATCATTATTGTTTCATATGCCCTTGTAATCTTTTATCAAAAACATTAATGTCCCCTCCTCCTCGCAACAACATCAAGAATGATGATGTTTACACTGGCGCAAAATGCTGGGCAATAAGTTTGTCCAATGGCCAGATGATGAGTTTCAATACTGCCCCTCCACCAACCG